GGGGGGGCGACCGCCCAGGTCTGCCCGGCTGGACCTGCTCCCCCAGGGCTTCGGAGGTGCAGGACTGGGGGGGCCGGGGGCCTCCGCCTCCTCCCCTGTCCTCCCCAGCTGCAAACCCCTCCCTGGGTGCTCCAGGCCCTGCAGCGGGAGATCGTGTCCGCCTGGGCAGCAGCAGCATGGGGCGGCCCCCCCGGGGCTCGTGTCTGGGGCTCCTGCCTTCTGGTAACTTTGGGAATATTCTCGGGGGGGGGGGCTCCCCCAGGTCAGGCAGGCATCGCCACAGTGCTGCTTAGCCACTGCCAAAGACGGTGGATGGGGCCGCCCCACTCTGCCCTTGTAAGGGGCTCGAGCTCACCCGGCCGTTCCTGCCAGAGGCGAGGGCACTGCCTGTCCTTCAGGCCAGCAGGCGGGGCTGGGACGACCCTTCCGGCACCCTTCCCCATGGAACCCCTGAACTGCCGAGCTGGAGGGGGCCAGAAGGCCCTCACCCCCTGCTGGCGCAGGACAGCACGTCACCCCGCCCCGCTCAGAGGGCTGCCCAGCTTTGTCCGGAATGCCTCCAGTGCGGGAGCCCCCCCCACACACACCTCCCCAGGTGGCTGGTCCCACTGCCGTCTTGCTCTAGCAGGGAGGAAGCTCTTCCTGACGTCCCGCCTGAATCTGGGTTGCTGCAGCTTGAACTGGTTCTTCCGTGCCCCCCAGCACCTGGGGGTTCCTCCCGTCCTGTGGGTCCTGCAAAGTGGGCCGGGCCAAGGGAGGTCTGCAATCCCCCGCAGGCCCCCAGCCCCACAGCCGGCAGCCTTCCCGTTGGGCGGGCCCGTGGGGGCATCGTGAGCAGGCGTGGCAGGCACCCACCGTTCCCCGTTTCCTGCCCTCTTTCCCATGCGCTGCTGACGGCAGCCCCAGCGGTGTGTGCCCTAAAAGGGGCGCCGCTTCCGCCATGCGGGGGGGCTCGGTTCCTGGCACGTGCCCCTGAACGCAGCGTGCGCTCACCAGGACCTGGCCCCCAGGCCGCTGCGGAGAGGACAGGAGCCCAGGCGGCCGGGCTTGGGAGCCCGGTGAATCCCCCCCCCCACACACACACAGGCACCTCTCTCGCACCCCCGTGGCAGGAGCTGGTGCGCTTCTGGGGAGCCTCGGGATGACGTCTCTGGTGCAAATTGTGCCCGGACGGAGAGCGTGTTTCCTCACTCGGCGTGTGTGTGGGCAGGCGGTGGGGAGGCCGTGCTCGCCCCCAGCAGGAGCAGGACTTCTGCTCAGTTCCTTTGGCTGTTGAGCGGTGCCGCCAGGCCAGCCGCCACGAGCGGGGATGGCCAAGAGCCGCCCGGTAGGGTCCCTGCCCAGCTGGCTTCATTCGCTGATTCGTTATTCATTGGCCGTGTTTGCAGGGCTGCTGTCTGGGTGGCGATTACGATAAAAGACCAGTAAAATGACCGTAGATCAAACAATACAGTTTAATTAGCATGGTGAATAAAGCAAGATCACAATGCATGCAATGAAATAAAATCAAAACACATGCTAACATATTAAAAGAGTGCAATTGGCCTAAATAGCCCGAGGGGTGCCAGAGGTGCGCTGGAAAAGCACGTTTTCTGTACGGCGCCTGAAGCTCAACGCGGGGGCCTGGAGGACCTCGGGCAGGGGAGGGCTCCCCAGCTGGGCTCCCCCCAGAGGAGGCCGCAGAGGCCCAAGGAGGGCCTGGGTGGATGATCTGAAGCAGGGAGGCATCAGTGGAGTTAGGCAATCCCTCAGATGCCCTGGCCCCAGGCCGGCGAGGGCTCCTTGGGTCAGAGCCGAGAGCCTGAACGCAGCCTGGGTGCAGTGCAGCCAGCAGAGGGCAGCAGTGAGCTGCTCCTCAGAACTGGTCCTCCCTGGCGAGCGACCGGGCCGCCCGGTTCTGGATCATTTGAGGAGTCCGGACCGCCTTCAGGGGAGGCCCCACGTACAGCGCACCGCAGTCCGGAGGTTATCAGTGCATGAAAGGTCATGGCAGGACTGCGCTCATCCACTCAGGAGCATGCCTGGAGAAGCCGCCACCGGCAGCCGGGGCCACTGGGGGCGCGGGGAGAGCCTGGGCTCCAGGAGCACCCCAGACTTGGGGCCTTGCCCTTTGGCGGCAGGGCAACCCTGTCCGGGACAAGTATCCCACCTGCCAGCTGGCGTTGCTCACAAGCAGCACTTCCATCTCCCAGACCCAGGCTGGGTCTATTGGCCCCCGCCCAACCCACTCCCGAGTCCAGACGCCAGAGTCCAAAGACACCAGAGGCCAGAGTCCGCCACTCCTGAACTCCCCCTGCAAATGCTGCAAACGAGAGGAAGAGCCGAGTGCCAGCGGCTTTTGGTGGCACTGCAGCCCAGCCACCTGACGGCCCTCCCAGCGGCTTCATGCCGCTGCTGAAGTGTGTGGAGGCAGAACTCAGCCCTGCAGAGCTGCCTGGGGCACGTGCCGTGGCACGGAGCGACGGTCCCCGGCACCACCTTCCGGGGACAACCTGCCCTGCAGGGGAGGCGCTGCCTCCGTGCCGTGGGCGCAGCGTGCGGCCTCCGGCTCCCGACGCAGCCCTCTGCTCCGGAAGGGCGCGACCTTGGCCGTGCCGCCAGCCACAGGCTCCTCCAGCAAGGATGGGCCGGGGGTGCTCTGGACGCCTCCAGCCGCCGCAGGGCAGTGGCCGAGCGCCCAGCTGGAGCAGACGCGGGCAGGTCGGGCCTCCAAGCGCCAAGCCCACCTGGGGCAGGGGGCTGCCAAGGGCGCGAGACCTTCCTTCCTGGGGCAGCACGTCGAAGGCCCTGAGCCGCACGGAAGGCCCCCGCCGGGCAGCATCCCGGGCTCGCGATGTGGAAGGGCTTCTTGGCCGCCTCGATCCCGCAGAGCAAGCTCTGGTGGGCTCGGAGCCGAGCTCCTTCTGGATTTCCTGCCGCCTGCGCTCTGGTCCTCTCCCTGCGCTCGTCGCCACATACCGGGGACGGGGGGGGACGGGGGCTCTGCAGGGAGGGAGCAGCCATGCCAGGGCCCAGGGCAGCCCGTGTTCCCCAGGGCCACCAGGCCTTCAGCAGGAGCACCAGCCTCGTCAGCCAGGCTAACCATCCCCCGAGTTCCAGCTCCGGCCACCTCCCAGGGTGGACCAACTGGGCAGGTAGAGGGGGAGTTTGGACCCCAAAAGGAAGCGATCTGCCCATGGCAAGGGGCCCGTGAGAGACCCCGACCCTCTTCCTGCCAGCCGAGGAAACCGGATCCCGAGCGGGCCCCTTTTCCCGTGTTGAGCCGGTCACTCGTTGAGGCAGCCCCACGGCTGCCGTGGAGTCCCGAGCCTCGCCAGCGTGGGGTGGAGGTCCCCCAGGACCGGCAGCCCGGGGGCCAGAGCGCCAGCTCTGAGACCCCCCCCCCCGTCAGCCCCGGCAGGCAGCTGCATGCCCACTTCCTCTCCCTGGGGGAGGGGCGCCTAGGGTGGACAGCCGCATGGGCACGGATCTTCCGAAGCTGTTTCTTGGGGTGCTCCGGAGAGCAGGGGGCCAGGAGGGGCGTGCTCTGTGCCCGCCCCCCTTTTCCGCCTCTGATGGCGCTCCGGCAGCTTTGCCCGGGGACACAGAGTGCATCTCTGGGTCTTCCGGGAAGAGCCACTGGCGGAGGGGCCTCCCTCCCTCTCTCCCTCCGCCGCACCCCACACCCAGGGAGAGCTCCCCTGCCATTTCGCAGCTGCCGGAGGGGGGGCCTCTCCCCGGAGCATCTCCAGGGCTTGGGCGGGGGGGGGGGGGGGTGCTGTGCGGCTGCCTCAGGCACAGGAGCCGCGGCTTGCATCCGCTCCTCCCACCCACAGGGGTCCTCAAGCAAGGAAGCTGCCCACGAGCAGAGGGGCTGCAGGGCCATGGCGGAAGCTGCACCCGGCCCGCGCCGTCCATCGCTCCCTCCCTCCCTCGGCCAGGCCCATGCCTGTGCTGGGCCGGGCTGGCCCTCCAGGGGGCGCCCTCCAGCTGCTTGGCCATCCCGCCCACCAGCACTGCCAGCCCTGAGCCACCACGGGTCGGCGCACGGGGGCCGCCCAGCACAACTGCAACAGCTCAAGTGTGCCGCGGTGACGGTGTGCTTGGGCCCCTGAAGGCCTGAAGACCCAGAAGGAGGTGGAGACTCGAAAAGCGTTATGGGAGTGACCAGGCCTGAGTATTTTCCCCCGCAGAAAAACGGGGAGTGGTCGGGGAAAGGAACGTGACAAGACAAGCTAAGCCAGCCCCCGCCGTCCAGAGAGAGACT